TAAATAAATCAATAATTATTTTACACTATTTTCCTTTTTTTTGTTTCAGTAGGTGAAAAGCATCTAAAATGACCATGTGAGATTTTAACTCAATAAAACCACCTTTGGGAATATTTTGCAGAAAGAATCACAGCACTCAGGCCAAGAAGATACATTGTACTGTGACTATTTTCTTTAATATTATTTTTGCTATTCATATTCTGATATAATTAGGTTAGGTTAGGTCATGCTGGCAGATCAAAAAGAACACGCATAGACCATTGCGATAACAGACCAGAATTATTTTTAGCGATATAAGACTTTTTTAGCGATAGTGTGCATCGCTTAGGATGCGCGTGTTATTAGCGAATTTTTAGGATTTCAACAGAAACCTCAGCTATGTGCTCCAGTCTGATAAAACTGACAGCCCACAAGTATTTTTGTCGAGTTCTCGGGAGAACCGGCCAGTTACACAGCAGATGCTTCAGAGTTTCCTTTGCATCCGGCTCGTGGTCATGTGTTCGTCCAGAAGTATTTGTATGTATTTGTTTCAGAGGTCTGAGTACTTCGGTCGTTTATTCCTCTGAAAATTATGCGCAATTTTTAGCAACTGTTTTAGCATCAACTGTCTCATTACCCTTTATGTCTGTATGACCAGGAGTCCAGTACATACAAAGTCTGCGTTTGCAGGCTAGTAAATTCTTAAAAATTTAAAGAAAAATTTTTTCTTTTACTATAAGATGTAGCGTACAATACAATGCCAGTTGTTAACAAACAAATTAATTGAAATATAATTACATTAAAGTAAACAACAATCTTACAATACTTTTTAAATAAAATTGAAAATTGCTTTCTTGGAGCACACTTTAATGCAGTGATTCTTAAATATTTTAAATATTTATGGGATTAAATTAAAAAAAAAAAACTTACAATAAAAAAGACGCCAATAAATATGCTGCGAAAATTTCTTTCATTGTTTTGTTAACAACGACTTCCAGTTTGTAAAGAGACACAAGGAGGGGGCATTTTCCGGGATTTAAAAAAAAAATAATGTTAACCATATAAATAAAATTATTCAAAATAAATGAAAATAATAACATAAAATTTGTTTTTAATAATAATAATTTCATAATAATGTAAAATTTTGTAACATAATGTGAAGAATGTCTTTTGTTTTCTATTCGAATCCTCCGAATTTTAAAATAGATTTTTTTTTAATAATGAAGTTTATTAAAGTTCTTCACAATTTTCAAACCTATTATGTATTTTGTAATTATCAATCGTTTAAAATTTACTATTTATCAAATACGTTATTTTATTCAAAAATGTCAAAAAAGGCTGCTTAAATTTTGAACTTTTAACAAAAATGTTTTTATACCATATATGTTTATTTTTTTTATTAATATATATATCAAATATTAAATTTTTCAAATTAATTCAGGGTTAATTTATAATGTATAAACTGTTTTACTAACACGTAATGTTAAGATGTAAGTAATAATCTAAACATTAGATTAAATTTTTTTATTAACATAACGCTTCAATAAACAAATAACATTAATCAATTTTTAATTGGATGCTGCTCTATTTGACACATAAAATCTACCGTTTCGATGCTTTTTTAGTATCAATGCATTTTTTAATTCATTTACCATTGCTGAACATTATTTTATTACTCATTGTTTTTTATCTAAGCTACGCATGATTTTAGTATCCACATTTGCAATTAAATTCTTTACACAGAGTAAGTATGAATGAAACTTGAACTTGAAATTGTTGCAAAACTTGATTTAAATTGATTTGATATTGTATTTAATGAACTTATAGTTTACGGTTCATTTTATACAGATTTTGAATTTTAAACCTGAAGGTAATCAAGTGCAATTTAATTCTACTATATATGTATCTTGAACACACATAGGAATTAAATTAAGTAAAACTTCACTGTTATAGCGTGTATAATTGTCTCATTTATAAACTGTTTATTAATTAAGAATGTAAATTTATCTATAATTATAGACAACTATTTTTAATATAAACGAAGTAAACATATAACTAAATATATAGGTTAATATATGATATTTTAATCATTTTGTATTTATAATATAAATTTAATAAATATACACTTATAAACAATAAAATTGAGGCAAAGTTTATTCTATGTACTCATATTATAAGCATTGCAAGCTTTGAATTATAAAAATCAATCAATTACACACACCAGGCCAAATATATATATAAATAATCTAATAAATAAGGTATAAAATTACAAATTCAAAACTAAAGTATATACTCATATTATAAACATTACAAGCTTTGAATTATAAAAATCAATCAATTACACACACCATGCCAAGTATATATATAAATAATCTAATTAAAAAGGTATAAAATTAGAAATTCAAAACCAAAGTTTGCTGTAACGATTTTGCGAACTACTATGTATTCCTAATAAATAATTAGCTGCTCTATTTTTCCTTTTTTTTTTAACTATCAGGTAAATTATGTATTAATTAATGAAGTCATCGGCTTTTATTAGTATTAATAATTGATTTCTATTTGAATATATTACCACGTTTTTCTCTTTAGAAACAACGTTCGAATTAATCATTTAACTAACTTAATTAATCATTTAAATTTAATTGAATGTAAAGTCAAAAATATTATTACTACGGTAATTGGTGCAGTTTACTTCTATATAAAAGACTTAACAATAGACCATTACTTTGCATAGTAGGTTTGATTTCTGCAAGAAATCAGATCTCTTACTGATTATTCTATATCTTCAAATCGTTTGGAAATTCAAATATCGCTTAGGTGTAAAACACTTACATTATAATGACCCAATATGCAGTTATGATTTTATAAGCTATTACACACTATATATATGCACTGCTATAATATATTATTTCTTTTTAAGTATTCGTTTCTAGAGGACCCATATAAACTTGCATAGAGGTTTTATTATAAATATTATTAAAAAATCAAGGACTTTATACATAATTGCTGCTATTGTCAATCGTATTGTTAAAAACTTTTTTGCAATTTTCTATTTTTGTTATCATAGAAAACCTCTATTTTTGATCTGAAATTTGAAATAAAATTGTGTCTATATTGTGAACCGGACTATAACAAATATAAGTGCCAAATTTAATTCAAAAACGTCAAAATAATACAGACCTTATTAGGAAAGAGTACACAATCCAACACACAATAGCATATTTTTATATATTGTGTATAGATGATGAATATTTATAAAAATATATTCAATATAAAATCAATTATAGAACCTACTATTATTCCATAATTAGATATATTTTAACAGAAACGCCTTTCGTCTTTGATTATTTGTACTTGTTTTTTTTTAATGCGTACGTTATTTAATTAATTACTTGTTGATATAATTTATTTCGGTATAAAAGCGTTTATACGCGATTAATTTGATTCATTTAGTCTACATCCGACAAAGAAATTCAAATTAATCATATTTCTTAACTTCATTTTGTTTAATGTGTCTAAAATATAAAGTATTGCTCTATTCCATTACTTTTGGATTATTATTAAGTTTAGTTTCTGCTGAATTCCGTAAGTGTTACTAAATGTTAATTAATTTATTAATTAAATATTATATAAATTGTAATTAATTGAATATAATGGATTTATCAAGAATAATGTGTAATTAATATTAATTAAAATTTTAATAATAATAGCAATTAAACCGAAACCATGTAAGTTCGGAGACACGGAATGTATCAAAGATGTAATGAACTATTACTTAAAGCAAAAGAATGGGGGTAAGTGCACAGATATATTGAAGAAAAAATAACAAGTAAATTTAATTAATAATTTTAAATTGACAGAAATAGTCAACTTTTAGTGAAACGTATTATTATAATACTTTTCTGTTGCATATTACCTTATAGATTATTCAATAAGTTTACAAATCTATTCTTAATTTTAAACTGTTATTTGGTAGGTTTGAAGCTATCCTATTTTTGTGGTCATAGAGCCTATCAATATATATATTGTATTCAGTAAAGTTTGTTAAGATTTTCATGTGTATTTACATAAAACGAAACATTAACTTTAATTTTAACTAAAAGCGTCAAATAATTTTAATAATTAAATATATAAGGCTTTCAGTACCTTGTAATTGCATTAACTAAAAGCGTCAAATAATTTTAATAATTAAATATATAAGGCTTTCAGTACCTTGTAATTGCATTCCATTTATTTTCATAGACGTATTACAATATATTTATACATTCGATATAAAAACGGTAAGGATGGTTATGTATCATTATATTTTGAAAGAGAATATTAGGGAAATTTAAGATAAATATTCATATAAACATGACATTATTAAAAAAAATTTTGAATTTCCAAAAGCTTAATAATAGTTAATAACAGTATTTAGAAATTTGCCACATTTTTTTCGACAAAAATGCAAACATTTATTTACAAATACTCATATGTTTGGTGAAATTTGTGCATTCTTCCAAAAAAGCAGTAGGTAACTTGCTTCAATAAGGGATTGCAAAAAAACCTGTCCATCATAGATAGAAAATTGTTTAGCAAAAAATTTTTGCAATGTAATAATATATTAATATAAGTGAAAATATATTTATAAAAATTTTAAGTAAATAAGGTTTTTTAAAAATCCTAAAATTGTCCGATGCCATATTACGGCCGTGTGCGAGTTTGAGTAAATTGAGGTAAAATAAATTGAAATTTTATAGGGATTTATTATTTTTCTGTTAAAAATTTTTAAATTTATTTATTTATTTATTTATTTATTTATTTATTTATTAAACATCTTATACAATTTTCATAATGGTAATACCTAATTTACCCTACTCGAAATTCTGGTAAATACCAACATTCGCTGCCATACCGACATAATTTACTAATTCTCTGAATTTACCATCAATTTACTCGAACTCCTATACGGCCTATACAGAAAATTTAGATATTGTATTGTAAATTGGTATATAATTATAAATGTTTAGGTAAATTATTTTCAAAATATTCATAGTTTTATGAAAACATGTAAAAAAACAATATTATTTCATCTATACGTAATTTTTTTATTTAGATTTTTCATTTGCTTTATAACATTTTATTCTGTACTATGTAGGTGAGGAGTCTATTAACTTGGTACCGCTTGAACCATTAAATATAAAAAAAACTACGATAAAACAAGGCACGGATAGTCGCTTAAGCGTTGAATTGACGTTATCAAATAGTCAGGGTTATGGATTGAATACCGTTGAAGTGTATAAAGTAAAGTAAGTACAAATTTATTTTTTTGACAGTTTGAATGTAATTTAAACAGAGAACATTCACTCCCGTACATATCTGGTAACATTTTCAATAGTTTTGCAAAGTGAAGAAGTTTGATTAATAAAAAACTGTTGAAACTAATTTAACTTGAATTAATGTAAGTGTTAATATGTATTTCGTCACTTTTTTATTATTAGTTTAGAAACATGTTAAACACATAACTTTTAAAAAACTTATTCAACAGTGAAGCAATTATTCCAGCGCTCCTCTCACTATTTAGTGCTTTTTGTGTAGATTGATCCTCACCTTGCTCTCCAATATAGTCCAGATAGAACAGTCCATCGGATTTGCATCTAGCGAATTCGAAACCCAGTGTGTGAACGAAATGAAGTGTGGAACATGGTTTCTTAACCTTTTTTTGGTGCACACGAGCTTTTTGTGACCGAGACCGATGCCGAGTCTTGTTGGAACGTCCATGGTCTACGATCAAACTGTTTGCGTGCCCACGCCAAAGCAACTTTCAAAATATTTTCCCAATAATAAGTCACATTGACTTTGACATTCATTATCGATGAAAACGATTGGAGAGCGAACATCGGCGGTCACAGCTGCCCATACTTTTATTTGAGATGGGAATTTACTTTAAGTGGCCATCCGTAGTCCCAAAATTTCGGCAGTGCGTGCAATTAAGTTTCTAAACTGTTCAATAGGGAAAGTTTTCTCATCAAAGAACACAATATTTAGAAATTCGCCACATTCGTTTAAGCGTAACATACGTTACTCCTTTGCTCTTTCGAGTCTAGCTTTTTGTTGCTTTAGTGTAAGATTTTGAGTCTTTTTGAACTTGTAAGTCTTTACTTTGAGTTAATTTTGGAATATGCGTCGAATGATTCGTTGGAATACTTTCAGATCTTTGGCCATTTGATTACACTAAAATGTCCACCAAGCTATATCTTGGTGGACGCTATATTTGGCTATATTTGGCTATATTTGGTAAGGTGTTCACAATTTGATCAAAACTGAATTCCAACTATAAACTATTCCACCATACTCCTGAGTTTTTTCCTTTCCACAAGCAAATAGCATACAAGACCAGCAAAACAATTTATTTAAATGTTCGCAGCCTGTGATCCACTGGTTTTTATGGTAAATAGCTGTAGGAAAACGGCGACTTACGACAATTTTCGATATTTTTACATCAGGTACCAAATTCTTCATATCTGGAGTTGGTCTATTCATTTTATGAATTAAAACCATTTTTCAGAAGATCGTTTAAAAATGATATTTGAACCAAATCTTTAATCACACATTAATTCAAATATATCTAAATATTATTTTACATTTTAAATTTCTTTAATTTTTTTCTTCACTTTTACCATTTGCTAGTATAAAATTGCAATAATGACTTTGTTTTTGATTTATTTGCAACCTCTACATAAGAGTAAGAAACTCTCGTGCATTCATTTACTCTTTTACTTTGTATTTACTATGAGCGGTTCAATTTTTTTATTGAACCATTTGCTCATATAAAACGGCAACCGTGACTTTGATGGTATTTGCACGCTTGTATGAACTTGGGGTTCAATTTGGTCGAGTGAACCTCTCGTCAAATGTAAAGCGATTTTCGCTCAGCCATTTCTTTTCTCTTTTGTATTTACTTTGCATAACATTGGAAGTTCACTTTTTTTATTGAACCGCTTGCACTCATTAATTTAAGGGTTATGATGATTTTGTTTTTGTTTTCTCTTTTATTTTTATATTTGTTTGTATGTTTTGTGTTTATTCAATATTGAGCATAGTCCCAATGTGAATATTATTTCATTTGCATACTTTGTAAGCAGCGCGGTACAGTTTTTATTCTGAACCTTAGTATATTTTAAGAGAAATTTTTTTTCTCTTTTATTAATTATAAATAATGTTGGGTGTAACTAACATATGTATGTATGGTTTTGTTTGTATTGTACGTTTTGTGTTTATGTTAATCTGTTTGGAAAAGCTATTATAAAAAATGTTAAGTAGCAAAATAGCGAGATTATTTACCTAATAAAACACCTAATAAAAAAAAGATCTAAAAAGGAAGCTTTGTTAAGGTGTTCAGTGAACACTCTGAAAAATTCGACGCCTCGCCGCTGGTAACAGATATACCTATGTGTAGCTGATAACACTTCAATTGCTTAACTCTGTACATTAAACAATCCGAGTTGCATTGTATAAAGCCAAATTTCCTTAATTTCGTAAAAATTAAATTAAGTCAATTTCAAAAGTGTTTATACTGCCTCAAATCAAGGAAATCATATGTGTTTTGTTTATGAATCGAAAGTTAAAAATTACATGCTCAGGGAAATTTTAAACGTTGATTATTATAACTATAAAAGATGGCATTCAATAGTTTTATTGGATTTTAGGTATATGAATTATTTTTTTAACTCTTTTTTAAATTAATAACAGTTACAGTTCTTTCTCTATATTTAAATTTAAAAATTTGCACTACTTTCAAAATATTTCCCAAATTTATTAAAGTCAACTGTCATTTACATTTATTTTAAAAATATGTCACTTTTTCTTTATCTGAACTACGTCTTTTGCTTTTTTTTCTTACTCGTAGTTGCATTTGAAATATCCCTTATTTTAGCCTTGGTTTCGACGAAATTAAGGTCATTTTGCTTAATTTCGTTCTAACCTCAAAACTGAATTTTGTGTCGAAAAAACAACTTAATTTCGCTGAAACAAAGATAAAATTAAGATTTTTGCGAAATTAAGGTGTGTCTGAACATAGTATAATATTCCCTACTTAATAAATTGTTATAATAATGTTATAAAATGCTATTGTATTTCAGAATATAGAAATAATAAAAATTCAAATGTATTTCTACGAAAACAACAATAAGCCATTATAAATTTATCATTATTTTAATTTTAATTAATTAATACTATTTTTTTGTAGGGGTTTTCACAGCGACCTGACAAAACAACATGAAATTAGCTTTAAAATGGATAAAGGCAGTATTATTGGAAATTATGAAGTAAATGGTAGATTTTTTTTCTTTCCCATAAATGGGAGAGGCAAAAGTAATATGACTATTGGTGAGTTTATCAGTATAAAAAAGTTACAAATAATAAATTTTCATCAACTATTTTTAATATTTTTTTAGTCAACAGTGACGTAATATTAAAATTCAATGGTACATCATACAAAAAGAATGGCGGCACTTATATGAAAGTTGAGAATATAAGAATAAGACTTAATCCAGGACGTGTTTATTTCAATTTTGAAAACTTATTTAATAGTGATAAAGAACTAAGCAATAATATGAATTTATTCCTTAATGAAAACTGGAGGGAAATATTTATCGAAATGCAAGACTCAGTAAACAAAGTTTATAGTGATATTTATAGTGAAATCATAACTAAAGTATTTTCTAAGCATCCATATAAAAAATATTTTCTTGATGAATAAATATTAATACAAATAAATATTTTTATTTAAAAGTTATAATTCAACAACGCTTTTTTTTTAAATAAATTTTGTTTATAAAAAATTTAAGCGTGTGGTGAGAATCAACAAAGTAGGCTAAAATTGTCAGATTCTCTGATATTTAAAAATATTTATTCAGATTTTTTCAGTCAGTTGATCAGTCAGTCAATTAGTTAGTGTTTCTAAAGTTGTATTAAAAATAATAAAAGTTTGTGTTACAATAAATACTGTTTTTTATTAATAAAAGCTATTTGGTTATTGTAATCACAACATTGGTGACCCCGACACAAAAAGGAGTTGTAAGTTATTATCAAGCCCAACATTAGCAAGCAAGATGACTAACCGTGAGGAAGAAGATTTTTTTCCGGCAGAAGGAGAAAGTCGCACTGACAAGGAGGTATACCGGGTTTCAGTTAAGCCGATGATGTTTTCAAGAGAGCATCCGGACCTTTTTTTTCTGCAAATGGAAGCACAGTTCAGGAATGCGGGAATAACGAAAGATGATACAATGTTCGACCATGTAGTAGCAAGTTTAGAGCCGAAATACCTGGAGTGCATAGTTGATGTGATTCGAGATCCACCGAAGGTGTTGAAATATGAGACGTTGAAGAAACGGTTAATTTATGAATTCACAGAATCGGAGCACAAAAGGCTGCGTAAGTTGCTGACAGAATTGGAGTTAGGTGACATGAAACCAACTCAATTGCTGAAGAAAATGAAGGAGATGGCCGGCAATTCAATGAATGATGATGTACTAAAGTCATTGTGGTTACAGCGACTGCCAGTGGGAGTTAGAACAATCGTAGCTGCAGTGGAAGGTGATTCTGCACAGTGGGCCAAAGTGGCTGATAAGGTATTTGAGGTACAGGAAACAGAAACGGTTTGTGTAGTACAAAGGAATGAACCGAAGGAGATGAGGAAGGAAATTGACGAGTTGAAAGTCATGATAAATAATTTGGTCATTCAGTTGGGCAAAAGAGGAAGAAGCAATGACAGAGATCGTGGAAAAGGGCGATCATCAAGTGCTAGAAGAGGTAATATCTGTTTTTATCATCGGCGGTTCAAGGAGAGGTCCACAAAATGTGTTCAGCCTTGCCAGTACAAACCACCGCGAAACTCAGCGGAAAACTAAACACCACTTCACGTCTGACGGCGAGTGAAGTGGCAGAGGGTAAAGCATGCCGTTTGTTCTTCAAAGATAAAAAAACAGGTATAAATTATCTAATAGACACAGGCGCGGAAGTTTCAATTTTGCCAAAGAGAATGCAGCCTGAAAATGAAGCCACGCAATATTATTTATACGCAGCAAACGGAGCGAAAATTAGCACGTATGGAACGAAATTAGTGCAAGTTAATTTGGGGTTGCGCAGACAGTTCCTGTGGGAGTTCCTAGTGGCGAAGGTAAATCACCCAATAATAGGGGCGGATTTTTTGAATAATTTTGGTTTGATAGTTGACCTGAAGAACAGGAGAATTTTAGATGGCATTACAGGCCTCCAGGTAATGGGTTCGAAGAGAGAGATGCACTGCGTGAAGCTAAGCACAATTGATGCGACTAGCCCGGTACATAACATTCTGCGGGATTATAAAGAGATTACGGAACCGGCTACTAGTAATAAGGTGGCCACGAAGGTTACGCTAGTAGAGCATCAAATTGTTACCAAGGGACAGCCAGTGTATGCAAAACCTCGGCGGTTAAATCCTGAAAAATTTGAAATTGCGAGAAAGGAATTTGAATTTATGACGAAACAAGGTATTTGTAGACCAAGTAACAGCAATTGGGCAAGTCCGTTGCATTTAGTGGCGAAAAAGGATGGTAAGTGGAGACCGTGTGGTGACTATAGGAAGCTTAATTCAATAACACTACCAGACCGGTATCCAATACCCCATATACATGATTTTACTCGCATATTGTACAATAAGAAAATTTTCTCAACCATTGACTTGGAAAAGGCCTACAATCAAATTCCGATTGCTGAGGAGGATCGACCTAAAACGGCGATAATAACCCCGTTCGGCTTATATGAGTTTAACATGATGACTTTTGGTTTATGTAATGCTGCGCAAACTTTCCAAAGGTTTATGAATGATGTCCTAAAGAATCTGAGTTATGTGGTAACGTACATAGATGATATATGTATAGCATCAGCTGATGAAAAGGAACACGAAATACATTTAAGAGAAGTGTTCAAACGATTAAGTGATCATGGTCTGAGAATCAATCTGGGAAAGTGTGTGTTTTTTATGAAAGTTAAGGTATGAAAGTTACCTTCCTGGGTCATGTGATAAATGGGGATGGAATTAGACCTATAGCTGAAAAGGTAGAAGCGATAAGAAATTTTAAAAAACCGAAGGAAGTACGAGAGTTAAGAAGGTTCATTGCTTCAATTAATTTTTACAGGCGTTTCCTCCCGAATGCCGCAAAGAATCATGGCATCCTGCACGCGCTATTAAAAGGAAATAAGAAAAATGATAGATCTCTGATTGATTGGACAGCAGAGGCCGAGAAAATATTTGAAGTGTGTAAGAATAATCTGGCGAATGCTGCAATGCTAGCACACCCGGCTCCGAATGCGAAACTGGTGCTAAATGTGGATTCTAGCAATGTTGCAGTAGGAGCAGTGTTGCAACAGCTTATAGATGGACAGATGCAACCGCTGGGATTCTATTCCAAAAGGCTGACAGAGACTCAAAAAAGATATAGTACTTATGACCGCGAGCTACTTGCTATATATATGGCGGTCAAGTATTTCAGGTACATGATTGAGGGCAGGAATTGCACTGTGCTAACGGATCATAAACCGATTACATTTGCTTTCTTACAAAGATCTGAAAAAGCATCAGAACGCCAGTTACGCCATTTAGATTTTATCGGGCAGTTGACAACAGATATTCAGCATATAGCAGGCAGCAAAAATACGGTCGCAGATGCTTTATCTCGAGTCGAAAGTGTAGTGGCTGGAGTTAGACGATCACTAGACTATGATAAGTTGGCAGAAGCTCAGAAAGTTGACCAAGAGATGAACGAGTTGATAAGAAACTGTACAGCGTCATCTCTGGAGCTCAAGTTGGTAGAGTTAATTACAGAGGGTGTTTCTGTGTATTGTGATGTATCCGGAAAGAAACTGAGACCGTTTATTACAAAGTCCTTCCGAGCGCAAGTGTTCGAAATGTTACACAATTTAGCTCATCCTGGTAGAAAA